ATTCTAGCGTTGTAATTCCGCAGACATGCCGCTGTGACACTGGGGGCTTTATTTCTTCTACAACAAGTTTTACAAACTCACAAACTAATATCTGGCTGACTAACACACTCGACAGCTCACTAATTGATCGAAACCGCTCTTACAGCCTCATTAACTAACAAACTTATTGATTAACTAACTTACTAATTAGTTCACTAATTAACAATAATTCTCTGGTATATTTATAGTATTACATTATCCCCTCCCCCAGAAAGTCACTAATTAAATGTGTTAAAGAAAGTACAATGAAATTTATGATTAACATTGCCCACGTATTCGTTCAGATTCTGTTCTTTTGCACTCCAGATTAGCTGTTTCCATTACTATGTGTACCTGTCCTTGTTGTCACTATAAATCCAACCTCTGGAGGTGTAACTGTTGAATAGTGCATGGGGATTTCATGGTCATAGGCTGCGAAGCTATTTCAAGTTTGTTAACATGACATCTGTATTTACAAGTGAAGTCCATTCCCAAGATGCGCTCTGCTTTGATGTTAATTACCCACACATCTTGTTCTGTAGGAAAGCTTCCCACAGTGAGAGTGACTTCCAACTTTTCTCTTGCTGGTGATTTATTTATATTTGCTGTTCACATCGATTCATCCTATTATTTCAATCCTGGAGACAAGTTCCTACCTTTCTTCGTCGAACAGATGTAGTGTAGAGCCAGGATACCCATCATTAAACCCGTTGACTCATGAACTGGTTTCTTTAGATAATACACTCATTATTGTTTTGGGGCAAATATCGTCTCCTTGGTTTTTATATCAAATATTGATTACAGTTTTAGATTTAATTTCTATGTTTTCCGCATTACAGCATTATGTTAATACCAAACGAAGACAGACCAACGTTCTGTCGAAACATGTCTGTTTCGAAGAGAGATTGGTTAGTGGTAGTGAAAAATCGGATTCTTATGGGATTTCTTTGTCAGTGTTGTATTGTGTACTCTATATTTAGTAGGTCTTTTAATGTGCCTAATTTTTGTTGAACTACATGGTTAGAAGTTTTAGTGAATTTCTAGTTTAGTCTTACATTATTGTTCAACAGAAACAATCATCATTACACGACACTTTCTCCGTTTCTTCTTCCGAGAAGAGCATGTAACTTTAGGTCTGATATGTTAAGTTTGTGCAGATGAAATTTGTTCTTCAACAAAACCCAACGTAAATTTAAGTAATGTCCAGATACTAGAGACACTCATGCTTAAAAGGCTTTAATTATTGATTTATATCCTAAAAGGCATGATGATGATGAGGCATAAGTTTTTCGGATAAAAGTAGCTGGTATAAAGGTAGTACAGTGAGAGACAGGGAAGCAGTTATTGACGTAGTCATTGGCTAATTTTAAAATGTATAGTTTTTATGTAACTTAGAAAATATTTTCAAAACGCAGTTTCTTGTAATGTAAATGTGAATTTTGAAGTGTTTAACTTGAAAACTGACTTGTTTGACGTTGCAAAATGTATGTAATGTGAAATAACTCTTCATACATCATAATTATTAATGCTGAATGTCCTACTTACGTTTAATTTGACACAAGAAATCGTTTGTTATAAAAACATTTTTAGGACATTCATGATATCCAAATAATGCGTGCTTAACCGTACATTCCACTTGATGTGATTGGCATACATAATGTTGAAAACACTTTTTTGCCTTACCTGTGTTAGTTTCCAATAGTTGGCTGAAACGGCAGACAATTTGATTATGATATTTTTGTTTCTTGCATGTACCTGCCGGAAATTATATTATTAGATTTATCATATTAGATATACTTATTTACAAATAAATACATATTTCGTTTCAAATGTATGTATGTATATTTGGTGACAGGCGGAAGGAGAGCCTTGTGGCGGAGAGTGGAATAAGGAAGGTTTTTGCGGCTCTCGTCTTACTTGTGTCCACGAAATACCTGATAATGAGGATCCCGAATGGTTTAAACTTAATAATCCAGGAACATGTAGACCAGTAGCAGGAAAAGGGGATCAAACATGAGACGTTATAGCACTATTCTTATTATTTCAATCCGACTGCAAGTGAAAAAGGATATAACATATATTTCTGAATCTATATTGCACCTTTTAATCGGAACATTTGCAGCCAAATAAAGTTTATGTTTTCTCAAGCTAACAAATGATACACACATGTACGGAAAGGATGTTAATGAATAAAACTGAAAAACAAACATCAATTAACTTGACGTTATACCCATAATTTTCTCACTGTAGTAGTTTTATTTATGAACGATTAATAAATGGACATGCAGAATAATAGGAAATTGAATAGTTTAAATGATGATTTAAAGGGAAGAGGAAGACATTTATTACACATAATAAATACAAAGTTAAAACTCACATCTTACAATAAGAACTGAAACGAATACAACGTTGATAATGGAAATTAAACTGAAAGAAAAGTGAGCATGATATTTGAATAAAAGTAAAAGAAAACCTGAACATGTACACTAGTCAGCTTGCTTAGAAATGAGACAACTACCTTGCTGCATGAATGGATTAACGAGATTCCCACTGTCCCTATCTACTATCTAGCGAAACCACAGCCAAGGGAACGGGCTTGGAAAAATCACATGTTTTTAACAATAGTTAATAGTGCTTTGAATGTCAAAGGTAAGATATTCAACCAATCGCGGGTAAACGGCAGGAGTAACTATGACTCTCTTAAGAGAATGGAGTTCTATAACTCTCTTAATGGGAGGAGACCCAAACTATCCTAGGATGGGGCGGAACCGACCATATGAGCCATAAGCATTGCCCACACTATCCTCTGGAGGTACCTCTTCGTGGTACGGCTGGATACAGGTAAATCCTGTAACCAAAACCTCCAACCCGTGAAGGAGAACACTAAAAACCCATATAGTGGCCTCGCCAACCACTATATGTCCAACGGCAGGAGAAGCTATCTCCCGGATGGGAAGGAAAACCCTAAACCGTGATGGGAACTTACCGGCCCCATCAGCTATTGGGTACCCGGTAGGGGCTTGCGACCCTACCTTGTATTTGCATTTTATAGGGAACCGGTCGGCCCTATATCAGAGTAGACCATTTATTAAACATGGGTACAATAATAAAGAATAAAAGCTATGGTTTGGTGTCCGTGGGGTGCCAGGGCGGCGGCCAAACCCGAGCTACTTGGCACCAACTGGAGATGGTAGCTTCCGAGCGATTCCCTGGCGACGAGGGACTCAAAACGTCTGGAATAGAGGAATTGAGAAATACCTATTCCACCACCGGCTCACATACCCAAGGTGAACCCGGTGCAACTAGAGTACAACCTATCTGGGGCGGTAGATGCCGAACCACTCAGGTGGACGGCTTGTTTAATAATGTCTCCCCACGAGAGACAATTTGTGACGAGTCCACTTCGATGGACAATTACCTGATTTGTGAACAAGATACCGATCTGAGACAAAATAAAAATCTGACAAACATTTATTTGGCTACGCCTAGAGCTTCAGGCAGCTCGCCTGTAAGTATCCAGTCATCGAGCGTGACTGAGGGCGAAATTGATGATAATTTTGAAACAGAGGAATTGACGGACATTTATTTGGCTACGCCTAGAGCTTCAGGCAGCTCGTCTGCAAGTATCCAGTCATCGAGCGTGACTGAGGGCGAAACTAAGAATAACTTTGAAACAGAGGAATTGATGAATATCTGTTCGGCTATGCCTAGAGCTTCAGACAGCACGTCTGTAAGTATCCAGTCATCGTGCGTGACTGAGGG